GTACTCATCTTACCCTTTCTGAGCCTTTGTGTCTGTCTCTCTTACATCTGTAAATCACTCTTCTGTTCCCCTCCTCTCTCGACTTTTCGTGACTTTTATGTCCCTCCCCCCTATGAAGCCCGGAGTCAACGAAAGAGCTAATGATAACAATCATAAAACCTATCATTTGATATAAATCAATGTTTAAGGTCTTTAGTCTTGTTTCTATTGGGCCTTAGAAACACACAGGCCAGTGACACTACAACGACACATTACGCTACATCAGGTTAGAAATATTTTTTTACAAATATATATATCACTTCAGAAGGAATAACCAATATTACCCCAATGCCACCGATCCCACCATTGGAGGATCCATTAGAGAGAGTAGGTGTGTTTCCGCTACCACCATTGAAAAGAGGAGGTCCTGTGAAGGCCCCATTAATACAATTGGTACTGCCTCCGGAAGTTTTGCCTTGAAGCAGTTCATGGAGATCATCATCAGGAAGGAGATCTAGGGCTTGAAGGAGACTCCAATTTTCACCTGTGAAGGAAATGGATAGCAAATATATATCTTCGAATCATAACTTATCTTCGGCATTTAATTCTGATGAAAATACAAAAGATATTTTTCCCCCAAGCTTGAGGCAAAAAGCAATGAAGAAAAGCAATTACCATCAAGAATCCCAACTGGCGTCGAAGGACTATCAAGCTTCGCTGGTGATGTTCTAGTCGAAAAGTCTGGATCATCATTTATATTTCGATTATTGACGTCTTCATCATCCGCTGTAACATGTTGCTCTGCAGTCGGTGACATAGAAAGCGGCAGACAAAGGTCATCAAGAACATCCATATTGAGATCAACGAGTGAAGAGGTGGATTTTACATGACGCCTATGGGACTGCTGATGGGGCTGACGGCTGCTTGAAAAACTCGCACCATTCACCAAGTAGTCGTCTGTTGAAGCAGTATTGGCCGAAGTCCGACGGAAATAGTTGCCAATCTTCCCCGAAATTCGATTTTCCAGATGAGCATCAAAGTGAGCCTCGAAAGCTGCCTCGTTGGCGCAGAAAGTTCGACAACTTTTCACGGGACAGGCGAATATTAAACGCACTGGTTTGCTCTGCGCTGTAAGAGATACAAGAATGGAGAAACTTCAACTTTTTTACTTAGAAGTACGAATATTTAATATGTAAGGCAGCATATCTCAATACACACTCAGATCAGTTATAATTCATGATGGTTGAAACGAAAAATTGTCACATGGAAGTTGATAGGGGCAGAAATTTCTCCAGAACTACTCATCTTTCTGTGACCTGAAATACAGATCTGAAGCATAAAGTACACTTATTTGCAGAGGGAATATATTATGTTGCCAATAGCTAAGGTCAACACATTTAATCTGCAGAGCTAATACCACGCTTCAAAAAAATCGGGAATTGTTCACAACACTTGGATAGAGGGAAGATATTCTGGAGATACTCATATGAGAAACTCGCAGTTCACCACTTCTCTTGAGTGGAGAGGTTTAGTCATCTAAACTACTGGATACGCACCGATAACCGCTGGTCCCATGACTTCTGACTTGTTAGACACAAGCTGACTATAGAGCCACGGGTGCACGAATCTCACTATCTGAGAAGGAATTGAACGAAGGCCACCACTGAAGGGTAAAGACCAAGAAGAGCATTTTTGCAAACATCAGATTTAGCAGTCGAAGTAAATTATATTAACCGACTCATTTAAATGATGATTTGCCAAGTTATAATTATGGGTACGTTAAGTTGCACAATTTCAAACGAATATAGAGTAAAACGTACCATGCCCTAATATGACACAGTTACATAACAGGAATTGATGAATACGTTCCTGAAAGTTAGTCAACTTCGCTAAGCGTAGCAGTTAGTAACCAATTGATCCGGCATTTGAAAGAAATAAACTGACGTGGCAAGGCCAACCAACACAATCAAACAACCAGTCAGTAAATAATGGCGATTTTGGACAATTATTTGAACAGAAATAGATTTGGCGAATCATTAAAGCTGAATGTAAGAATGTGATCTTTCCAGTAAGTAAATATTGCACGATCCGTAAATGAAAAGCAAACGAAGTAAGTCTTCTTGAAACGGTGACTTTACTTCCAATATCTGTACCATCCACTCCTCTTGAATAGTTGTTGCACCTACTGTTAACCAATTTCGTTTGTTTGCTGAAATTGAAACTTGTAGTTGTCTTGTATTATTGTGACAATAATACCAATAATGAATGAATTTGAGGGTTAGTCATTCCATCATAAAAAATAACATCATGTGATAGTTAATAGCAAATAGATGGAACTCATTAGGATGTATGAAAATAGCAGAGACCACGTTCTTAAAGTGTGGAGCCTTAGAAGGCCTTAACACAGAGACCTGCAGACAATTAACTTATTCTAGTGATAAGCAATTGGTGGAAAAGCCACTATTCCATTCAACGAAGTGAAAATTAATTCCATCGTATGACCACCCAGATACTTGGAATCTGGACATGGTAACCTCTTGCCCCTAGCCTAGCTCACTGAAGTTTGCAATTATTGCCCCCCCCCAAATATGATGCGGTGGGAATAAGTAAGGGCGTGATATCTGGAAGTAGTTCCCAATTTCTTACTGCTGTTTAAAGAGGTAGGGAATCGGTTACTTTGATAGTGGTGTTCAATAACATTTGAGTGAGAATGGGACAAGTTTCTCATCCCTGCAAAAGTCAAGAAATTGCCAATTTTAAATCTCAAGTGTGATGGGCAAAAATTGGGGTAGTGGCTTAGCTCCACACACACACACACACACGCACACACACACACACATGAGGACGCGTTTGACTAACTCGAATCCAGGTAACAAACCCCTCCTCCTACGCTCACATAATCACCGCCACCACGGAAACAAACACTCCAATCCCATTGGTAACTAACCAACTAGGGAACATCATGTACGGAGGCGAGGGAGGGTGCATAAAAATACTTTGCAGTTGAGTCTGAATAAATAAATACTCCAAAAAACTCAACGTATTGACATGGAAGAAGGTAATTATAAAGGCAAAAATTAATCGTATAGCAGTCAAGCGGACCCAGCACACTCAGGGTAAAATAAATCAATAAATCGATAAATACAGGAACTACGTACAGCGCTTTTCGTAAAATGCGTTGAAGCTCCATCCAACCAATTAAGGCTGCATAAGAAAAGATGGCCTTCAAGCTTGATGCAGCGACGGAACTCAATTAATGGAATAAATCAATGCAAAAAATGGATTCCCCCCCTCCCCCCCTCCCTCCCTCCCTCCTCCTTTAGGACCAAGCAAAACAAAATGATCCCATTCCTTTCCTAAACTAATCACAGGAAGGATTGTTACTACTACAACTCTTAACAGCAATTTTTCTGTTGGCAATCGAGAAGTGTGATTTTAAATTTGAATGCAACGGAATTGGAGATAGTATGCAAGTGAATAAATGGCAATATTTTGTTTCTCCTATTCACTTAGCATCATATTCGTTTTATATAGTGCAAGTTCGTCGCTATTACCCTATTAATGTTACTGTGAGGAAACACAATAAGTGAAATATTTGTTTATAACATCTAAAACCACAGAGATAATTAGGTTAGAGCAAATTAGGTAAGAACATCAATAATGGCATTGACAGTACTGAAAGAGCAACACTGGCGTTATAATGGTTAATCTGTACATAGGCGATTCATGTGCATCGTAATCAAATTGTTATTTATAGCAAACCCAATTTACAATTTTAATCGTGGAAAATCAACTGAAATTTATAAAGGCAAAGTCAAACAATTTTAAGAATAAAGCGAGCAGAGTCCAGTCACCCAGGGTTCACTTAAAGAACACCCAATATGCCAGATTTCGAAATAGGGGATCAGGGAGAAAAATTACTGTTCACGATGCTCAACGTTTATTTAATGCTAGGCTAATCGAGTTGGCGAGTTTAAGCAATTAAATCCACTTTCTGCTTCTAAACACCATTAGACAAAATCCTGAACCAGCAATCAGTCTTACTAAAGAAACATTTGGTAATAGACTTTCAAACAAAAGAAAACAAGAAACTACTTTAAATAAAACGGGGTGTGCGATAGACTTAACTCCACGTAGTGCACCCTGGGCAACGTATTCTCATACGGCAAAAAAGTCTATTAACCGGTAGTTGACTTCTGACTTCAAACTACCATCACTTTAACTGGCAGTTGACTTCTGACTTCAAACCACCATGACCTCACTAAACTGGCAGTTGACTTCTGACTTCAAATTGCCATCACCCCAAAACCGGCAGTTGACTTCTGACTTCAAACTACCATGACCCCCTGGGTAACGTATACTCATACGGCAAAATCTATTTGTGCGCCCTGGGCAACGTATACTCATATGGCAAAAAAGTCTATTACCTACGCCCTGGGCAACGTATACTCATACGGCAAAAAGTCTATTAATATGGCTATTGACTTCTGACTTCAAACTACCATCACCCCATTGTATGGCAGTGACTTCTGACCCCACTGTATGTCATATTCGACTAAGGCAGTTGACTTCTCACTTCAAACTACCACCACCTCATGCACTATGGGCAACGTATACTCATATGGCAAAAAAGTCTATTAACCTGCAGTTGACTTCTGACTTCAAACTACCACGACCCCCAAACTTCAGTTGACTTCTGACTTCAAATTTCTATGGCCCGAATATTTTTTAGTTGACTTCTGACTTCAAACTACCATCATCCCACTCTATGCCATATTCGAGCTTCAAAGACAAAAAAGTCTATTGATCGGCAGTTGACTTCTGACTTGCAAAAAGTCTATTAACCGGTAGTTGACTTCTGACTTCAAACTACCATCACCCCACTGGATGCCATATTCGACAACTTTCACAGTACTCACCCCACCTTTTTCTACCTTTACGTCTGTCTCTTTTACAACTGTAAACCACTCTTCTGTTCCCCATCCCTCGACTTTCTGTTACTTTGATGTTCCTTCCCATCTGTGAAGCCCGAAGTCAGCCAAAGGGCTAATGATAACTATCAAAACGCCTGCCATTTGAAATAAATAACTTTAAATAAAACTTTGCGTAATTATTTGAAAATGGCCAGGCAAATACCACGCACATCAATCTGAAGGAGGTTTCTTTGAGTGATAAATTGCAGACGCTTGTTTGTTTAAGTAGTTTTGCACGAACGCGTGTGTTAGGAGGAAGGGAAAAAGCATTTTATCGGTCCCCAAAGGACATATAAATTACCACTTAGTGAGTAGTTGAAAAGATCCTCCCAAAACGGGCTCAATTACCAAGATATTATCAAGTTTACGAACTAGCATCAAGAAGGGCTCAAAAAAATCGAAAACGGCGGTCTATAATGAAAGCCCGTGTTACACAAGCTTGCAAAAAAACAATGAATAAAATTTCATTTACTCGAATTTTAAAATAGGGAATTATTTTCCAACCAACCTGTATATTCCCTACTAATGAATGGGGTAGAATTATGGTTGCGAGTTTATTTAGATCGAGGGGGGTTATTTGAGGGCATTAAAACTTGGCAAAGACTTTGATAACGCATTTTGATATGACCAATAAACAATGGAGAGCAAATTTCAAATTTAACTGAGCGTTTCTTTGCAAAAAAGAAACTCGAAATTCGAAGAAACTGATTAGATCAGCTCAGGGAAAGAGTGAAGACTTCAGCCCGGAATATGCACATTTTACAATTGTAAATAGCAAAATTACAAAAGTCAATTCAAATTAACCCAATTCTCACCACTTTACACAGCTTATTTTGCTTAAAGTCAAATTGATTCATAAAATAGGACTTAGTTAAAAAAAGTAGGTGCTATTTGAACTCCAAGGCAATATATTCAGCAACATATATGATGATCATTGCTTGCAAACTTCCTCATTAGGTCATGCTTTTAATCTAGCATTTGGTAATGATAACTGGGAAGAGGAGAAACCGGGATTTAGCGAAACGATTTCACGACGTGCTTAGATATCACCTTCGTGATACTTTTTCTTCAATCCGCATAATCCTGCCAACTCTGGTGCTATTTCACCAATTCGGAGTGTTTCAGGAAAAAAAATAACGAAAGCAATTTAAGTGATTACGACAGGTTGTTAAACATTTTTTTATAGAAAAGTTGTAGATTATAGTGGTGATGTTGACCATTCCGAAAGGTTCCCCACCATACCTACACTCCAGAGTACGTTGTTGATAACATCAAATGACCCTAATCTGTTGAAGGCAATCGCAACAGAAAGTGAACAAGAAGCAACCAGACTTAGATTAAATCCGATATGTAAAAGGATAGTAGTTAGGAAGCCGACTTGGATATTATTCATAAATTCCAAAGAACTTACAGTCAGGTAGATGGCATTCCTTGAGATGTTCACAGAGATTTTCACATCCTGAACAGACGAGACCACAGTCATGTACAGGACAAGTCACCAGCTCATCCTTAGACATCGGCATCGAAGTCTGATCACACCCCCCTCCACAGATCACACTCGATGACCTCTCCGTACTCACAGAATCCGCCTTCATACCATGTTGATGGCTTGCAGGTGGCACCAATATTCCTCCACTACTGCCCCCACTGCTGCTCATTGTTCTACGACGACCATGTCGATCACCACCCCGTCTCAACCTCATACTTCCACTGCACACGCCATTTTTCTTCTCCCCTCCGTTTGTAGAAAGTCTTCTTCTACAAACAAGGAGAGCTGATGAAGTGGAAGATAGCATCTGTTTTCTTTGTCGCGGAGGAGGGACACGAGGATAAGGAGACGTCCAGAAGCTTCCAGGAGGAATACCTCCATCTTCTGACGAATGTCTTCCACCACGACCGTAGCCCAGAGAACTAGAATCTGCTGTCCAACAACAGGAAGAACACTCCTCGGTCATCCCAGTGGTAGTAGATGACAGATCAAGAGCGGAACCACGCGGAAGATGATGAAAGGAGGGAGGTGGGGAGTGGAAGTGGCGTGGATATGTTGGATGGAGGAGACAGGGGAGAGAATCAGTGGGTCGACTGGGGTAGTAACAGGAGTCGAATCCGAGATCACTGCTACAGTCCTCTCCTAGAAAATCGGCTTCATCGCCAACTCCGCATTCGAGTTCCTCGTCAACGCCTTTTTCCTGCTCAAACTCCTCGTAGTCATCGGGCCAACAACAGGAAGAGGAACAAGGTGCTAGACTAGCAACGGGGGCAGTGCGATCACTTGAACCACAGCACCATGGCTCCGTATATGCACCACCAGCTATAAATTAAGTCCAAAGTAAAGCAGTGATAATCTTAATCATTCCAGTTTACAATGTGAGGCAGGAAAATAAGAATTAAAACAAAAAGAGATTAAAGGCGCTACCTCTCTCATTTTCATAAGCCACAGGCGGTGGTTCGCATAAGGGAAAATTTAGACTTAATAGGGAAACGTACAGTTAGACACTTCTCGGTAAAATGGAGGCAATAGTACTGTGTGTAAGCAATCTGACTAACTGATAAAAGAGTTTGTATTAATGGAAGCTATCACAAGGGAGCTCTCCACCATAAATCAACCCAAGTGGCTATGGGAGATATTAATGGAAATGAAGGCAAGTCCTCACGCAATGGACGTAAAGTTAAACACGAATGATTAATGTGCATAGAATTCGAAGTTGGGAGGTGACCAAATAGTGAGTGGAATGATCAACGAGACTGATAAGGCAAGACTAATACAAACATTGACAGAAGGGGTGCACGATAGACTTACCTCCACGTGGTGCACCCTGGGCAACGTATACTCATACGGCAAAAAGGTCTATTAACCGGCAGTTGACTTCTCACTTCAAGCTACATGACCTCACTGTATGTCATATTCGACCACTTCCACAGTACTCACATCACCTTTCATCTACCTTTGCGTCTGTCTCTTTTACATCGTTAAAACACTCTTTTGTCCCACCCCCTTCTCGACTTTTTTCACTTTGATATTCCTTCCCCTCTGTGAAGCCAGAAATCATCTAAAGAGCTAATGATAACTATCAAAACGCCTGCCGGTTGATATAAATAAACATTGACAGAATATGAGATTCTCAATGGGATAGGGATTGCCTTATGAACATCAAGGCATTCGCATTCAATAATAATGTAGAGTTGAGGCATATGCATCATCATCGACACAGCGAAGGCTCGTATTTCAAGAAACACGAACTCAAGAAAACAGGTTGTTGCAAAATAAGTTTTGGCACCACAAATAACTTGCCCAAGGATAATGTGCTGCGACGGCGTTTTGCCGAAAGCTTTAAAGAAGTTCAAATGGGAAATACAACACGTACTTAAAGTAGGAAGAAGCCAATTTTTTCTCCTCAAATTTTTTGATTAAATGAAATCGCAGCATTCGCAAATTCAAAAAGCATGCAATTAAAAATGCCGAAATTGATCCCTTACTTTCATGCTCTCTTGCTCTCAGAAGGATCACATTTCACACTTAACGCCAGCGGTTCATCTGGATTAAAATTCATTTATTTATTTTATTCGGGATTAATGCAGAAATAATACAATCGCTGGATGAAAAAAAGACATATCGGAGAGATTTTAGACACAATTTATTGTGGAAGTAGAGACTTGCTCTTACAAACAGCACATTCTACACAGACCCTTCTGGTTCAACATAGTTCACATCAGGTTAGTTGACAACACACCCCACTGTGTGTGCGCCGATGGTCATTGATCTTGTGACTTCTTACTTGGCAGACAAGCACGATGACTAGGGAGGAGAGGTGGTCGAAAGAAAAAAAACAATAATTGTCTCCAAATCAAAAATGAATGCCAACTCTTAAGCCAAGGCTGACCCCATCGGGAAAAACTCCTCCACAGAATGAAGAATCAATGAAATTGAGGTGAAACAGATACAACCACTGTTTATTGTCGTCAATAAATGGGTTAAAGGCTAAATCAGAACTTGAAAGATAAAAGCTCAACCTACTTTGACGGTAATAGAATATTTCTTCAACACGACAATGCCCCGTCCCACGTAGCAAGAATGATCTCCAATAAAAGCCAACAATTAAATCGGGAGGTTCTACCACATCCTCCTCATTAGCCAGACCTAGCACCGATTTATTACCCTGGGGCATAACTCTGAGCAATAAACGATTTCGAAATGTGACTAAAGTGAAAAAAAAACTTGAAAGAGCATTTCAATTACAAGGAGTAACTCATTTCATATGGGAAAATCTAAGAACTACAAGAACAAAGGGCAAAAGTGTCATGTTAAAATTTGAGTAAATAAAAAGTAAATAAGCAATTCAATATTGTTTTAAAATGCGAGTTACTTAATTGACATCCTGAGTGTACAATTATTGATTGCCCAATTAGCTAGTGCTTGGAGTAGCATGTTCTCCACGAGAGGAGGTAGGCAACCTCTACTTTACTGTCCAATTTTTTTTCAACCACACCGTCAATAGCCGACTTGGCTTCTTAGAAAAAAAAATATTTATTTTAAGACCATATCTGCTTAATCCTGAATAGCCGATTATAAATGTGAACCAGTAGAAATGATTTAGGGTGGAGGTGGTTGCAGCAAGAAATCGTTCCTACGCCACAAATGGAATCAGAATCACGTGATGTTAGATGAAGGATTGACTAGAAAGAATATTAACCGTTGGCAAATAGTTCATATAATAAGCAAAACAAGGCTCCACTCAATTCCAAACAGTTCAAAATTACGAAATTAATTCGTACATATGCGATCTACAGGCAATGAAATGCGGCAAATTATGTGAATTTAATGTCTAAATCAAACAGAAAAGATCAGCAAGGCACAAAAAGGCGAAGTTAGGACAAGCAATAAAACAGGCAAACACTCGCTGGGAAGAGGAACAACAAAAAGGGAAGTCAACTTGAGAGAGAGAGAGAGAGAAGTAAATCACCTTGACAAAGTAAGAGTGGAATTGATTTCACATGCTCTATTATTATATTCACAGGACATCTGCTTTAAATGCCCAAAACACTACAAATATCCCCAGATTTCTGGCCAGATTCCTTAAATGGATGCGGCCATATATTACAGCATGAAAACAGCTATTTTGGGTATTCTAAAACCTCCTTGATTGAGATTGATACAAATCAGTACGCGTACACCAGAGGGGTTCAAACCTGTAGCATACGATAAATCAGACCTACATGGAAGATGAACCACCGAATTAGAAGAAAGCAAGAACAATTCTCGAGGGAAAAGAAACGCACTCTCTACGAGAAAATAATAACTTACATGTATTAAGGAGATCGGAGACATCATTGGAATAAATGCACATATTGAAGGGTGTCTGCGGGGGTTGTAATTGAGACGCTGGTGTGTGTAACTGAGATGTTGAAGGCTTAGATTGAGAGGGGATTTGCTCCAACTGCTCACTGTTCGATGACGTGGTGGCCACAGGCGAATGTTGCATGGAGACAATGGCTACTTTAGCGGCACTATTAGTGACTCCACTGGCGACCGTTTCTGGGGAATTTAGTACGCCAGAGGCTGTACCTGGGCGTTCATAAAGGAGACTTGGAGAAGTTCGACTCCGCAGTGCAGCACGAGCAGCTATGCTGGTTACGCCGGAGGCAGATGATCGAGAGGGGTGGAGGGTCGAGCCAGTGAGAGTATTGATTGATGAAGAGGGAGGTGGGGGTGAGGGACAACGGCGCTGGACTTTCGAGCGATCGAGCGATTGAGACGATCGATGATCAATCTATAAGGCAAAATGCAAAGAATTAATGATGAAATTGAAATTGTGAAAACCAAAAAAAGAGACAAAAACTAAAATATTTGTAGAAGTAGCTACACAGCGAAGTTCGATTGGGGCTTCCCAATGCTAGCTAGAACTAACCTTGAGGTACCCAGAGGGCGCCTAAAGCAGCCAAAATCCACCATAGAGGTCGTTTTTTTTAAAGCATTTAACCAAGAGAATAGCGAGCAGTCAATAAGTGACGAACTATGAATTCATCAGCATTACTAACAAAACTAAAATTGATAAATGAAAGGAAATTATGTTGTATTTGGGTTTTCTGATGAATGAGTCACTAGAAAGAGGAGCTCTTCATTGGTTATTTACTAAATAGGGACCACAGCATGTCTGAATTAATTATGCAGTCTAGGCCAGCAATTGGTCTGAGGACAGAGAAAGCCGTGAACATAAACGACGGCACACAGAGGACATCGATGACTCGTCACAAGCGCGCGCGCGCGCGTCCGATGTCGAAATGCGGCAGAGGCGGTCTTTCTGCGGATGAAGAAAGGCTGGGCCACATTTGCCTTAAACAAACGCATACCCACTTCTTGCACTGAGGGGACTATAACACACAGATTAAGCGAAAAAGAGAAAAGAGCTGGGAAATTTGCATAAACTTCGATTAATGACAAATAATAAGTGCTTACTTTTCCCGAATAATACACGTTATAGTGGTGTCAACTCGATAGCTTCACAATTAAGGAAGTAGGCATAAAAATCCTAAATACGTAATGTGGTTGTTGTTAAAATAAACGGAAAGGAAAGATTAAGTCAACTTCTCCTCCTTTCACAATTTCGAACACAGTGAGGCTGTCAACTTTAACCCCCCCCCCTCCTCCCTTTGTGAGAAAACCCACTCAAGTCACCTTTTACCCACACTTTTTCCAATAAAAGAATATAATGCAAATATTTTTTAAAGAAGATTTGCTTAAATTATTTCTGACCTAATGATAACCAAAATTTGAAAGCTTAATGTGGAAACTTTGAAGAGGGGTCGTTTAGGGGTTGAAGGAAGTCGCCTAAACAGAAACCCGTATTTTTACAACTTACACCTGAATTGGTGGAGGTTCACCAATGAGTATTTATATTGTGGCCATGGGGTGCGCGATAGACTTACCTCCACGTGGTGCGCCCTGGGAAACGTATACTCATACGGCAAAAAAGTCTATTGATCGGCAGTTGACTTCTGACTTCAAACTACCATCACCCCACTGTGGGATATTCTACCCCTTCCATATTACTCACCTTACCTTTTCTCTACCTTTGTGTCTGTCTGACTCTTTCACATCTGTGGAACACTCTTCTGTCCCCCCTCCCTCTCGAATTTTTCTCACTTTGATGTTCCTTCCCCTATGTGAAGCTTGAAATCAACTAAAGGGCTAATGAAACCATCAAAACGCCTGCCATTTGAAATAAATATTATGGCCATAGAGCCCTCCCACAAAAATTTGTCATCTATATTTGCATAGCGGGGTTGTAAACATATGGTAAAAATGTCTTAAAATCAGCATTCTTTAACTCGAGTGCGCAAAACTAAAACTGGGCGCACTTAAAACACTTTCTAATTTCATTACTGGTGTCAATTATGTGGTGAACAAATTGAAATTTGTCAGATTCAATTAGGATGGCCTATTCCCTTATATTGGCCAATATTCACTTGGAGGACAGTCAAAACTCTCCTTTGAGCGAACATCATCTGAATAAACCGATGATTTGTTTAATATATAAACAGGCCGAAATCAACGGCTAGCGACTATTGGCATCCAACATTTTGCCAGACCTCGTGTAAGACGCGACAAATAATAGCGATGTTGTAGTGAAATTTCCCATTTTCTAAATATCACAATATGTGACCATCAAAGACCAGCAAATTATGGATTCATTTAAATCCAATGACACCTAAATAAAAAAATAGTTGAAAAAACATACCCGAACAGTTCGGACTGAGAAACAGAGTTTGAGATTTGATGAGGTATTCGAAGAGGTGACAGATGAGGAGGCAGATCCGTTGGTATTAGCGACCGGTGAACGAGAGAGACGGTTAGCAGTAGTGTTGTCTTCACAACTATTGGTAGAAGCCACTGTTGAAGATTGAAGGATCTCTTGATGAGGCTTCGATGCCGAAGATTTCAATGAAAGTGTATTTTCTTCCGTCTCAACACTCTCTTCATGATATTTCATCAGGTGACGTGTCAGACCGATTCGAGCTTGATAGCGTCGGCCGCATCTTGGATGTGGACACTGGAATAAGGAAATAAACAGTAAATGTCCTAATCCATTTTTTATTGTTATTAAATCAGTACGAGAATTTTATTCTGGCAACCTTTGATGCGACAGAAAATGAAATAGGTATTTAGAACACACAATCGAAGCGAATTTCAATATGTTAGCATCAGTGTGGATTTCAAAGAGACCGACAAAATTTAGATTACTAATAAAAGAAGAGCGAAAAAATAGAGAGGAATTGCGTCAAAATTCTCGAGCTATACTTAGAGACAGTTATATTTAAGAGCACTTTCTAGCATATTAGGAGGACAATTGGATACTTGGATCTTGCAAATTGGAAAAGTAACGAAGCCAAATATATTCAATCCAATAATTTGCCTCCTGGGTAAAGATGATTGACCCACTTCATTTTAACGAATTAGTAACTGCCCAAGCTATCAAAATCACTTCGCTCAAATGGGGTTATTAAAAAATATACAATCAAAAATCAATAGTTAAAATTTCCGGAAAAGAATAAGATTTCCATAAAGAAACTTTGCACTGAAGAAGGTGTTTGGGCTCACTTTGAATCGTAGACATCAAAATTTCTAAGAATTAATAAACGCAAGAAGCACCTATCGCATGTTGACATTGGATGCAATCGATCGAGTCTATCTATATACCCCCCCCCCCCGATAAGGCACGGGAATAAACGTTTTCCCTTCTCTTCAAGCGTTCAAATAGGCTGTTCCACGAGAAAACGAATCATAAATGACTGCAATGAGGAAAAATTTCTTTTAACACTTCAGGAGAAGAAAAAACCCCCCCTTAACGCTCACACTGGGAATTGGATATCTTAGAAATTGAGAAAATTGTCTTAAATTTGTGCAAGACCATTACTTGAAGGTTAATTGGAACTGAAATTTATTCAACCTTCCAAGTTTTGCTTTTAAATTCTCGCGACAGTTCTCGTATTTCTAATTTTACTTGTGCATGCGCAAATTCTGCAATAATTGCACAACATCTTTTCAGTAAAAAAAGATTTACTGCTCCGAAATGCATTAATTTTTTTCAAGCAGCAATATAAGGAAATTAATTCAACTATATTAGCCAATTAGGAACATCGCGTCCAACCATTAATTTTGGATACTTAAACCACAATAAACACAGGAGGCCGATTGATTTGAGGACCAATTCAATCAATTACAAATAAATAATAAGGATTGAATGAAAATGTTGCCTATTAGATAGCATTGAATTTGATCTCTGATCGCAAAGGATTAAACAGAGGGAATAATATTGAGGGTGGGGGGGGGGGCTGAACACCCATAAATGGGTTTCAAAGAAAAAAAATTGACTTAGAAGAAAGCAGTTTACCGCAAATATTGGAGTAACCAATCAAAAAGGAGTGTCGTGGCAGTCTGCACAAGGAGGTAGAACATCAAAACAAGAAATGTCTAGACAAGAAACAAAACGAAAAAAATATGGGACAGATGTTGTAGGGAGTAGGAAAATGGATAAAGGGAGGCGAAAAAGGAAAACATTAATCAGCTTTAAAACTAAGCGAATTCTACTTAATAAAATGTAACAAATAACCTCCTAAAAGCACAATTATTAGAAATTGGTGTATTGGGTAAGGAAAAGGGTTAAAAATCAATTTTTCTTTAAAGTAAAACATGTTGGGAGCAAAATTGAGACCGAAAGGGGAAAGGCCATTACCCGTTTTGCAGTAGTAGTAGTAGCAGCATAAGTAGCAAAGTGACGCTAAAAAGAGTAGGTGAAACAGGACACCTCGTCGCTAATGGGCCAATATGGGAGAGGAGGAAGGGTGATCAACCATACCTGCAGTCAAAAATCGTCAAGAGAAAACAACAGACAGAGTGGTAAGACGGGGAAGTACTACTGGTGAATGAGCCATTTTGGGTTTAATTAAGAGAAAGAATTAGATTATCTAACCTTGGTAATTGCGAGCGGATCAAGAATGCAGAGTGGTAATTAAAATATCATGGAGAGGGGAAACAAAAGCATCCGCATGAAACTGCTTAATCTAAACACATTTTACACAAATTTTGTCTTTTAGTAGATGGAAACAGCGAGCTTGGGGGTGTTAGAAAGGGCGGTGAATAGGAGAGGATTGACTAGCTGAATAAATTAATTGCTCTGCGGCTGTGAAAAGGAACAAGTATGAGTACTAGACCTTAAAAGTACGCAATTCTGGAGCCGTCACATGAATTCCCAAACAACTCCATAATCAATTCAATTATCACGGAAGCCCAGCCTATCAGAATTAGTGTCGTCAAATTTCACCCTCTCAATACATCTGCTAGTGACACATGTGAACCTCCCAGTGTGATTAATCGCTCACTTCAACCGAGACCAGTTAACAAGGTCCAAAATAAACAGGTATCCTACACCTATGAGTCAAATCTTGAACTTTGAACACAACTCAGTGAAAATAGAACAGCTGTGTGAATAGAGAATTCGCCTCTTATATAACAGCAACAACAACAACAACAACGACAGCAACGTTACTTGCCTTTTCTTGAATCGTGCAATTTTTTGCTCAGGTGTGAATAAAAATAGTGAAAGACAGTGGGAATTGCAACGAATCTAAATCCAAGAACAATTTAATGAATGATAAAAGGGGCTATTTGAACACAAGGCCTTATTTCCCCCCCCCCCCCCCCCTCCTTAAGGTTAAGTGGAAAACGAGGATAGCCGATACGGCAGACTACTAGGTTCTAACTGTAATAAGACTTGACGACCAACAGTGTTTAGAAGAAATTGGCGAAAATTAGGATAATTTGCTAGCTTCGCAGGGATGATAAAGTTATTTCACCTATCACCCCAACTTGTTATATCGACCAATCGATCAAAAAATGCATTGCTCAACCAGCTGAATTTATCAATTGATCAATACCTTCTTGACATCGCTAAAAGAATCCAAAAAGTTCAGTAAGACTCTTGGTATCCGGATATTCTTCCGCATACCCTTTCCATCTCTATTGAAGTATCTCTCGCCATAGGGTATTTAATTGATTTCTTGGCGCTTGGGGAAATAATGACAATATATGGTACCAATTGAATGCAAGCTCTGATTTCGATTGCATGCGTTTCTGAATATCTTTCACTTATCAAACATGGGCTTGGGAAATGGCATTTTCCAATATATTTTGAAAATGAATTTGATCTCATCGATTGCACTACGACTGAAGGGAAACGAAATGGCAATAGGATGAAAAGTAAACCAGGAGAACGACAAAGAAGCTTTAACTAATGTCGCTTCAAAGTATGCGCATATTTTCATTGTTAAGTACACAATGAGTGAGTACTATTGTAGCGGGAGAAGTTAATACCCCACAAAGAATTTGAAATAAAGATTGCACAAATCCCAAATAATGGCATTTGAATTGGATCAAAATAGAAGGCTACTTCGCCACGTCTATCCACTCTCTCAGGTAGATCCAACGAAGAGAGTGACCACTCATAAATCGAATGAAGGTCTGTTCGCGTCAATTTTGCACTCGTCAGTTAAGCGAAACAGGAATTTGAGAAGCGGGCTACCTGGCTAGCCAAAGAGAGAGAGGGGTCGGCTATCATTTATTTACAAAGTCACCAGCGTAACACCAACGACGAAACAGATAAGCCTAGCTATTTTTACGGTAATTTTTCCTAACTCAATAAAATTGAGAGCATAACAGGCTGAAGTAGTGTTTAATATAACATCCATCACCATATTCTCAATTACCTACAGTCGAATTCCTTGCCACTTCCAACAACAGCCATCAATCTCAACAGGGAACTAGGCGGTAATGGAAGACCTCCAGACCACCAACTTAAAGGTCGACCTGGAAGATGTTAAGTAACGCCTAGATTACCTGCCAAACGTTAAATGAATTGGAATAATCAAAGCCCGTTTTGCAATCCCTCAGCTTTTTTTCACCATCTCTTAATACACTTCAAACGTACACCGCACACTGCAGAGACATTGGGCTGCAGATGGATTTAAATGATTGGATTCAAGTGTCAGGTAATTAATTCGGAGGCAAGTGACTAGTTGGCCTTGATGGCTAAAGGTGATTAAGAATTGACTACGGTCACTGATATTTAAGCACTTTCGCTCACATTAGTGTCTAAAAATTAATGCACACTTTCGACCTAGTGTTTAAATTTGTACAAGAGTGTCTTCCATCCCGCCCTTCCTGCTGAACTACCCAATTCAGCTTCCCCCCCCCCTCCCCCTCCTCCCCCTCGTATCCTTACGCGTATTCGGAATAACAGAAGTAGGCGAGGATGCAGGATATTTGCGATGCCGATCAAACCACGGAGAGAAAATGGATGGCAAAAAAATTGAAAGCCAAGTTGGGAGACATCACGTGTTGCCTTAAAGCATCCAGAATGCGAGAAACGCGCAAAGGAGCAAATGAATGGCCAACAGTATCAGGAGGAAAATGGAAGGAGAAAAGAGATTCTATAGTGATGGTGGAAATCTTCACGAAACGGTCCACTTATAATAATGTACATTCTCGAATCTACTACTAATTCATTCGTGATTTGTAGGTTCAAAAGTTCAAGAATCCATGTAAGAAGACGTTGCTAAATCATTATAGAAGTACCAATCTGACGCGATGCATAGACTACCAAGAACTATGGTGCAAAACTCAAGGTTGAGTGTGTTCTCATGTTGTTTATTTTTTTTATAAAAATATGTGCCAAGATGAAAATATAAAGTGATGTAGCATTAGTAAACACATTTACTTGATAAAATTACGACTTATTATATATATTTTCTTACCATTACTAGTATTAATGGAGATAAGGACTATTCCTAAAATTGTTACATGATTTAATCTATACTTTACATTATTCAAGTTGAATTGTAATTAGTTTTCGCCACAACAACGCGAACGCGTATTTTTTTCCCCCTATATCTCCTCCGGCTGGGATTTCGGCTTGTGGAAAGTAACAAAGTGGCATACTCAATAATGAATTGGATTTCACACCTGAAAACAAAAACACCAAAATTTCCTGCAGAAAATGAGAATAAATTAGAATATCTCGCTGGAGGAATAAAAGAAACAACAAAAGACTGCAAGTCAAGTAGCTGTCACGTGATGACTAGTGCACCTGAAAGAAGAAAGGACTAAACTACTTGAAAAAAAGGAGCTGAAGAGACCCGTAACCCTGGTCCAAAACACTGCCAGAAATTTCCGATTTAAAAGCAATCAATGATATAAATTTGTGGTCCGCATTATTTTCGATGCGTGCACGTGAGCATATCGATTCCAGAACTATTGATCACTCACAGGTGCAGAAAATTTCTGTGCTAGTTTATTAAGACACTTGAAAACAAATGCTTGCCTACGGATTATTTCCAGTAAGAGTTTAGAATGAATCAAATAGCATAAGTATTATCTGTAAAATACCGAACAATTTCAAATTTGAGCAGTAAGCAGATAGGGAAATATATCTGAACTTTCCCACCTACAAGACGGTCACTATTTGATGGAATAACAAAGACCCTGAAAGAGGCACTTTCAGAAAAAAAAACGATATTCAAATGGTTTAATTACCACAAGTGAACCATAAGAGAGAGAGAGAGTGGCCTATCTTCTTTACCAATTATTTCACTAATGACATTTGAGCTCGCACACTCTAAACACATTTTTGAAACAATCGATATGAAGACATTTAGAAAAGAGTGATTTCGAATACTGCTGATTGATGCAAGAAAAATTTTGAGTGACGGGAATTTCGTCGAAATATTTGGAGGCTCAAAAAGACAATGAAAATGCAAAATCGCGAACTGATTGTTAAAAAAGCTTATTTTTTTCAAAAGCTTATCAATGAAAATATATTTGTTCTGATATTTTGTATCAAAGTTAATGATAGGCCGAAAAGAGCTGTTCGCTTTTCATTTCATCAAGCACCAGGATTTATAAAGGTGCTAACATTCATCAAAAACCAAAATCATGGAAAAAACCTCTCGTAATCTATTCTCGTAACTGGGAGAGAAAGAGAGAGAGAGGTAGTGAAGGTGAAAGATGAAAAACCCTCACAACTAACCATTCCCCCACAGAAGGACTCCCTCGAAAGTGGTCATAAAAAGGTAAAGCCAGAATTGCGTGTATTTATGCCATTTACTAAGCTAACTTCCCTTCAAAGGTTACTAAGCACGTAGTTGATGTAGCAATTCTAGCTTGAATTAGTGAGTTTATGTAGCTGATAGCGTGCTCATAATCAATAGACATTACATCAAGTAATTCAAGGCGTGCATGCTTGTATAAAAAAAATCAATAGCAGTTGAGATGGACGAGGAGTGGGGCTTTCTAAGAGGCATAGTGGCTGAGATTGAGACGACAAGACAGGCCCTTTATGATTAAAAAAAACAACTGACCAATAAGCACTGTGAACACCGTGGTCAAGCGCTTGCAGTAAGTCTAGGGGACGAACCATGAAATAAAATTTCTGGAGCACGAGCATTAAGCCCCCCAGTAAATATCGAGTAATCGAGATCCAAAAATCAAATAAAGCATAACCCCCACCCCTGATTACTTAACGCCATTCCATATATTAATTCTCAAAATTTCCGTTAACCGTTTTCATCTGCTTCGCACGATTTTTAAAATTCGCCTTAATAATGTGGTTAAAAAAACGAGGGCAGTAAAACTGGCAGTGGATAATTAGTCCGATTGGATATCGAATGAGCCACTCAAGTGAAACTTCATTATAAGTTGATTGGTTTTGCGCAAAAAAACTCACGACAAAACGAAAGCGTTCATTTGGATCTTGAGGAATGTGGAGGTCATTGGAAGATGGTGCCACCATGGGAGCCTGTTGCAGCACGACTGTTCGAGTTGGAGTGCTCTGAAATGAGGTGTTATCACAGTTAATATACATATATATATATATATGTTTATAATGAGGTCAATGGTAGGGCATGTTCGAAAAAGTTCGAAACAAAGAAAACCAACACGTGTGAAAAGTCACTTACTGTAAATGGTAATTTTACGTCATTACCAAAATGTGATTTTCACTGGGGGAGTAAAATTAGCTTAGACAGACGAAAGTCTATTTGAGTTGGAACCCATGTTACCTCTTTATGCTTATCACCTTAGCTCACTATGCAATCACAAAAGTATGACCATTGTTCTGAATGCTGGCAAAAAGGGGAACTCCATCCCATAAACTCAAGTGGAAGAAGACATTTTCATTAAGTGGAAGAACTTGAGTTTAAAATAATTACAATTAAGACAATATTATATTAGGCTGAAGAAAAGGATACTAAAATTTAACGCATCACGTGAGCTTGGAATTTTATTGGAACATTTCAATGGTGAGGAGATGACAAGGTTAAGGAAGAGACTCTGTGATATTCTAATTTTGAAGCAGAAAATTTCACAACGATAAATCATGATAGGTTAAAGTAGAAGAGGGGGGGGGGAGGAAGGATGAAGGTTGCTACATTAGTTTACTATTTTTCGACTGTGGTAAGAGCTAAAATTTTTCGAATTTGGACATGAAGCGGGGGAATTGTTCCAGACTAATATGGAGGCAACAGATATGACTAGTGGTGATAAATAATAATACTAATAATGCTTTTCACTCAATTTACCAAACCCTAATATGGTAGTTCCTCGTTAAAACAAAATCGTTGATAGTAAAAGTTAAAAAAAAATCGGTAAACTTAGCTGAGAAATGAAGAACTTTGGATTATTGACTAGCAGAAGATACCAATGAACAATGTCGGAATGACAAACTATTCAATTTAAACAAGGATATGAAGATTTGAGGAAATGAACCATCACAGACAAAAAACCTGAAATTCGAATGCTAAAATTGGAACCCTGGCGCATTAGGACTACACACACTTATTAAATAGAAAAAAAGAAGGATAATCTGATGAATGAAAAAAAATGCGTCGAGGACAAACTGAGGTGTCCTGAATTTAGAATTTCTAATGAATTGCACTACTTTCATGCATTAGTGGGCTACTCTGGGTGGCTGTCTGGTAGGCATGGAAGCCAGATAACGACTCGAGTAACTCAATTGTCATGGGCTTTTTGAAATCGTTTAAAAGAATGAAACAGTAATCAAAATGAAAAGAAGATTGGCATAAACCAAATTAGAATATCGGTTATGTGTTCGAAATATTAATAACGAAATAAGCCACTACCTATTCATTCAGACGTAAAGACCAGTCACCTGTATAACTGTACTAAGTAAGCTGCCTGGCGTGGTGTTAAACAAGCAACCGATTGAGGTCCCGTTTCGCAGCAGACACACCATCACGCAGGTGCGATGGGTGCAGAGTGAGACCAATGGGGAAACTGAGCTTGGGGGCAAGTGTGGCCATTGACAAGATCAGGATATGCATCCAGCTTCAAAGGGATAGCTCGAAGCGACTATGGTCATTGATGAAAAGGTGACCGCTCCAATCACCCCTCCCCCTCCCCTCCCCTCCATCTTTTTATGTTTCTTAAACATCATTTCAACTCCAACACATTAACAAGACTTTAGTCTCCTCATATTAACTTACCTTAACTATAGAATGCGTAAAAAGCTGGTCGGCATGTTGGAATAAGTAAATCTCAAGTAGTAAATGAACTGCAAATAACTCAAGACACTTTATTTATTTATTTCAAATGGCAGGCGTTATGATAGGTATCATTAGCCCTTTATAGTTGACTTCGTGCTTCACAGAAAGGAAGAAGAACGCCAAAGTGGCAAAAAGTCGAGAGGGGGGACAGAATGATTCAGACGTAAAAGAGACAGACACAAAGGTAGAAAAAGGTGAGCCGAGTGCCGTGAAAGTAGTCGAATATGACATACAGTGGGGTGATGGTAGTTTTAAGTCAGAAGTCAACTGCCGAATAATAGACTATTTTGCCGTATGAGCGTACGTTGCCCAGGGTGCACCACGTGGAGGTAAGTCTATTGCACACTCAAGACATTTATTTCGAATAAACATTTAATATGCTATTAAATACATTAATCGGCCCAAGTTAGACTAAAACAGAAAGTATTCAAGAGAGAATAGAAACAAGGTACTTTAAGAAGGTTAGTTACAAAAGTCAGCTTGTGCAAAAATAGTCGGCTCTAATTGATTGAAATCCATCCCCCCCCCCTTTTGAGATTTCACCAAAGCCCTGGAAAAAAAGTTAAGAGAAAACTTGCGAAGTACACGAGACAGAGAAGGTTAGGCAAAATAAGTTCATGTTACTTCTCAGGGAATTCATGTGGTCATGTCATTCCCAATATACGCACACACACACACGGTGACGCTTTAAGGTAGATACAATTGAAATTCCATTACAATACTTTGAACACACCTTCAACATAACACTCAAACCATCGAATCAGTTTATTTCAAATGAAGCATAAAAGTAAGCGATTCGGAATCGCTGAAATTTATGCGAAGCCAGACATATTATCGCTGTCGGGACAATAACCTGTCTCTGAAATCAAGCAAATGACAATTTGCCCACAATAATACAAAACAAATAATAATAAAATTTAAGTCCCCCTAGTAGGCGATCATCGAAACGCGTGGCAAATGCTTGACGAAGCTTTATCTGAACTTAACTAAATACCTGATGAGTTGGCCAAACGTTAGATCGCCGTAGTAGTAATGTATTAACATTAACGTCTTTTCCAATAATGGATGGCTTAAAATTTCCTTTGTCCTATGCAAAGTTAATGTATTTACAAAAGTAGAGATTTATAAATTGTTGCGAAAACAACAGGAAGATTAAAGGATAAGAAGGTGGGGGGGGGGGGGGGGAGGGGAGGGGTTAGTGCCCGCATGCTGAAGAGGAAGAAAAGACGACACCATCGGCAAGATAAGGGAGGAAAATGGGGTTGGAAATGATGGTAAGAGGGGCAAAAGAGAGCGTGAACTAACTGGGTGCCACAAAAAGAAAGAGGAGACCACACGATTCAAGGAAGAACTGAATCTGATTAACTCCACTTCCTCTTACCTCCTTGTTCCAGAGTAAGGAGAATTCACTGAGTGTGGGCATCAAGCCCGTGGACTCCGACAAGACAATTAAATTAAAAAAAGGATAACTTGCGTGCTTCTGTATAAAAAAATAACGATTTTAATAACCGAATTTGAAAATCCAAAAAAACCGAATAGGGAAATTTAATCTTAGCATTTCAAGCAATTACTACTAAAAGTTACATTGAGCGGGGGTAAATGTTCTTGCGCTTCGATAAAAATATATTTTCAGGGGTTTAGCTCCTACGGTCAACTTTTTGAGGGAGGAAAAAAAGGATTCAAGCCAGTGTCGTTTTTGTTGCACATAAGGGAAAATGTCAGAAATTCCAGATTTTACACCTTAGTCACTAGGATAACCCAAATACCTATAGCTCCGAAATGTTGATACAAAAAATTACTTGATCGTTTAGCATCAATTAACCGGCTGGCAATTAATTTATCTTGAGCAATTCAATCAATGTATTGAAACTTCATCAAATGTAATAACCACAATTCAAGATCCCAAGAGAACAGTTTACAACAGCTTAAAAACGACAGAGATATTTAATCCTCCCCAATTCGAGCACTGAATTACGCTTCACTTTTGCGTCCAACTTTGGGTGGACTACAACAGACATCGCCGAGCCGAAGACGAATCCAATAGAGGTCAACCTAGGAGCAAATGACATCCTTCCACCTTGGAATCCCAAAACTCAGAAATAAAGCATAATTATCAGCCTGATCAGTACTATGGATGCCTCAAAAGACCTTGAAAACTCAAAAGATAGATGTAGCGCTCAAATTTATGGGTAGAGGGAGGGGGTGGGGAAGGACCTTTTGCTGGAAGGAGTGGGAAAAAGAAACATTTTTTGTCCAAGGATATTCAATTTATTACAAATTGGTTTTAAAATTAACAAATTTGTTAAAATGTGGTACATCGAAGAGTCGTTGATTTGGATAATTCGGGAGACAAGTCTACCGATTAAGACATATACACGTATTTTTATTGAGTTACGGGGTTCGGAATTATTTTTTTAGGCTTAATGGAGCTCATAGGCCCTAACTACCATCACAGAGCCTCCAGTAACTGCAAAAATGCAACAGTCATCTGATTAAAATATTCTCTCCGAACTTGTTCCATGTGCCCGAATTAATATTGAGGAATAAGGGGTGCGCGGTAGACTTACCTCCACGTGGTGCACCCTGGGCAACGCATACTTATACGGCAGAAGTTTATTAATCGGCAGTTGACTTCTCACTTCAAACTATGAGGAATAAACACCTTCAAGATGGGGATTTTGGAAAGGATATTTTTTTCAACCACTTTATAAGTTGAAGAATGATAGATTTCTCCCAAAAGAGATCACGCTAGCAATGAAGCTATATAACAAGATCAAAAGTGATCGGGTGTGATATTACAGAGATTGCAGTAAGAGTGCGTGGGGATAGAGTAAGACTAAATGCTGCGGTGAACTGAGGTGACAAAGACCCGTATCAAAGTAAAATAAAATTCTAAAGAGCATATTTTTGGCAAATGTCAATTTTTAAAGATAAATGCTTAAAAAATTAATCAATTTGTAGGAATTTTACAATCTTGAGGAGATTGAAGGCTGTTTATTATTTAGAGGAAAAAAATATTGAAATAATAAGACAGAAGGGTGAGGCAAAAAATATTTTCGCTATGAAAGAAAATCTATAAAATGACTAATAAGAAATTACAGGTAAGAGATTGTAGAGAAAGTAACCTCTAAGTAAGGAAGTTAAGGCAAATATGAACTCTTTTAATCATATTATTTAACATACATTTGTAGTAATACGCGATAATAAATAAAAAGAAAGAAAATTCATCTAGCTATAGTTCACAAGAAATGAGAAAAATAAAAAAAGAATCTTAATGAGAAGGCTCGACGGAAAATCTCGTGAGGGAATTACCTTAGAGAGCAAATACTATCATTAAATAGTGTCTAGTGCTCCGTTGATAAGAGCACGGCACAAATTAAAACTGCGGTTTATTACTTGATTCAACAAAAAAACAATTTCTTATTAGGAAGATATTACGAAAAAAGGCTTAATAAAAGGTAATAGCAAAATCCGTTGAGAAAAAGCCTTTCCAATACTTCACTTGGGTAGAGGAAAGTAATCCTTGAGGAGCTCTTAAAAGAAACTCGTTTTCTACCACTACCCCCCCCCCACACCCCCGCCCTTTGTCGATCAGAATTAACAAGTGCCATTGGCCATCCACATCACTCCATGTGCACTGATGGTCATCTGCCCTGGGATCACTGATTAGTGGACACACACACACACACACACACACACACAAACACACACTGGTCTCATGATTACTCTTTTAATTGATGCAACCTAAGATCACTGCTAGCTACACAATAACCCCTATTACGAGTGAACTTTGTCATAAATGAGGAGCTAGGATCAGAGAGAAGGAGAAGAACACTCTCATAATTTAAACACCAATCGTAAATAAAGTGTGAGAGTGTGTTTGCATGTGTAAAGTTGGTTAAAATAAAAGAAATAACCAATCAGCAAGAAGGCGGGAAAGGCAGTTTAGACATTCTTAAAACACAGAATATCAAATTTCCTTTACGTAATTAGAAAAGTGGATAAATTATTCACCCAAACGCTCAGCCAGAGGCAGGGTATTTTGATAAAGTCAATGTGCATTGTAGAATAAAATGGGTAAAAAAATTGAGCAATGAAAGAAATAGGGGACTTTTCACCTTTCCACATCTGGGGCTTTACGATTACCCCATCCATTAGTTCGACAGGAATAGCCTATGCTAACTCCAATAAGGTTATTTATTATCTTTGCTCATCCAGAGCTATGCTGATTTCGTTAAAAGCAGCACAAATGACTCAATTCAATCGACCAAATTTATTTGGACGATTTAAGTAAGATAAGGACCTTACAACCTGAATAGCCTAATGATTAAAATATTATAAATATCTCTTTAAAATTACTAGAATGTACAACTGTGACTAAAGGTCTATTAAAAAGGCGAATTTAAAAAAAGAAACTTGTAATCAGCATACACGGAGGTCGTGGACTAGTAAGAAGGTAGAGAGAGGGATGAATTCCCTTGTACCTAATCATTAACAGGGATAAGTAAGAGACTCAGGAAGACAGTACATTAAACTCAGATTTTTTCTTCCATTAAAAGCACCTCAGAAACTGAAGTAATGATGAGTTACAGAAAAATGCAACCAAATCCAAAGAGAAAATACCAAAAGTATTATTGCGAGGAAACACAGGACAGAATGGAGAAAATAGGCCAAAAGTAAGCAAATTATCAGAAAAATAACTTCAAGTTTAATTAAAAATTGATTGTGTTAAGTTGTGAATAGCAACCAAATAATTGGTCTACGCCAATTTTGTTTGATGTAAAGGAAATGAGATACAAGAAATGTAATGAGGAAAAAAAGATAAAACATAGCAATAATAAGATAGAGAAATAAAAGTACTAAACTGTGTAGAGAGGATAGTTGAAAGTGATTTTGCCGGAAATCGAGTTTAAAACCGTTGGAGGTGGACATTGAACAGATGAACTCGAAAAAATGGGTTGTAGTATAAGATTGCAAGATTATAGCATAAAAACTCTATGAAAAACGAATACAATTATAAATTCTGAATGTCGATATGGCCTGACATCAGAAGATTCTAGTGAAATAAATCTTGTCAACGAATCATGGGCTATAAATAAAAAATATTTGGCAAAGATAGAGAAAAGATAAAATGATAAAAATAATAAAAAAACGCGAATTTGAGAGTACGTGAACAATATCTAATGACAATGTAAGCAAACGAAAGGCATACAATCAGAAACAAAAACCTCAAATATATATTTAAATTCAAAATATATTAATAAGAAGGTCGAATTCAGGCTTACGCATTCAGATTCAACCGAAGATCCATTAGTCACAACAGGTATCCTCGCTGCAGACGTTAGTTTAGCCCTATTCGCCAGTCGAACAGTTAAATTCTCCTGCCTCTGTTTCGCTGCACTGGAGAGATTCGTAAGGGTATTCAAAGGAGCTAAAAGCTGTCTTCTAAGAGCTGCATGAAGGGGTGGAGAAGACGAGGAATTTGAATTCGAATTCACTGAACCAAGTGAAGGAAGTTGAAGAGCAGCAACAAGAGAGCTTGATCGTATTTGAGATAACTGTTGAGTCTGTGCAGGGTTATTGGAGCAACTCACAGCAGGGGTGATACAACCCCCGAAAGATCGTTTAATCGGTGGGGGAGTGAATGAATCATCCTTGGAGAGCCAATAGCCAGTAGTTTTGCGAGAGGTAGACTGTGAAGAATTAGTAGACTGAAGCTGATTGAAAACCTGTTCAACTTCATTTGCACTAATTGTTGGGAGTTCGATATTTGGATCAACAAGTGAAAAAACAGAGGTGTTCTGGTGATATCGAGAGGAATTCGATGGTTGGAGGAAAGAATTACTCCGACGATTTGTGGTGGTAGTAGAAAAGAGAATATCACCGGGATTAGCCAGTGTTGTCGGAAGAAAAGAAGGATGAAGGGAAGAAAGATGTTGGGGGGCTTTAGTGGGCTGCATGATATGTTTAACAAAGGAAACACTAAATCTAAAAGTGAAACAAGTGTGGAAGATTTATTCATAGTACTGCAATGAACAAATGAATAAAGACGCTGTAAATAATTCAACTAAGCTATAAAATGATCACATTATAAATAAAAGTATCAAAATTATTCTGGAATCATCAAAATAACCAACAAATATCCGAAGGTCAGATCATATATAAGACTGAAATAGGTTTCACCGTTACATACAGTAAGAATGTAAGTCTATATTTACTCGAAGGGAGTATTTGTATTAGAATAGCATAAATATTTCCTTACATTACGGCCCTTTAGAGCCCACCCGTAAACCATCATTGAAAATTCCAGGCATTAAACACATCCCCAAGGTCAAGTAAATAATTATGACGAATGGGACAACGCTTAATAAAGATATAGTTGTTTTATCAAGCTATTCATGAATCAGATTTATCAGATATCTATTAAATTAGTTAAAAATTTTAATTTGTTAATTATAAATGTTATATATTTATGTCATGTATAGGTAAAATGTAGTTGAAACAGATAGAAAATAAAAATTCATGACTCGTTAACAGATTAATTAGTGAAATAATAGAGCTTGCGTACTCGTTATTGAGATAAATTCTACAACTTTATCGTAAATCAGTAAAACAATTTATTTATAATAGTTTTGATGCTTAAATTAATAGTTTATTTCATTGCCTTAATTGAACTGAAATGTATTAATGTGAAATTTATGATAAAATAATTGTTTCAAAGAATTTCAGAAAGATTGAATTTTAAGCCGAACTTATTTCCCAGCGTAAGCGCTAACCAGGCCTTCAGCCTAAGTTGTCAATAACTTTAAATTTAAAAACACTTCTGCAAAAATATTAAAAAGTCCTATCGGTGTAAATAGTAAGAAATATTTCAGTCAATAGTATTTTGAAGACTTTGCAATTATAGATCTAGATAATGATTCGTCAATCACAGCTCAATTTTGGATAGATAAATCAGGTTGCGCTTGTTGTAACTATTTTTTGCTGATTTGGATCATGCCATTTATTGATTAAAGTCAGTTTGGTGTTATCTATGAGAAGGGTTATTAACTTTTTATTGGAATGGTTCTTTATGCAGCACTGAGAAGTAGGTTAGGTAATATTCCTCGATCTGGGTAAATCACTGCTCTATTTGGAACTATATAGTTAACCATGTGGATGCTAGTGTTGATAGCAGCCAACGCTAGAGGAAATATATATATATATATATATATATATATTCAAAGCAGCATATTTTACTCAGCATCACCTTTTCCTTGAGTTCGAACATAGATGTGTTTTTATTAATAATTGCTTCAATTTCCGCTAAACTTTGAAATTGAAATCCTAAAGATTTTAACTGTTGAAGTTTGATCTTCGATTTAGACCACATCAAATTTTCGTTAAAATAAGATATTGCAATTTTAAGTTCCAATTACTCTTTGATACTTTATTAGCCGATGAGATATTACAATTCATTCAAGAAATTTGTTAATTATATATATATATATATATATATATATATATGAAAGTATTAAATGTTAATTTCTTCTGGTGTTACAACGATTTCTTCAAAAACAGTGAGAACATTTGTGATTTGAAAATAATTTATCTTTTAACTGTTGTAACTAGGCATAAGGAAAATTAACATTCAATCGAAGAAAAAGTCTTACACTGGAGTACATTCTAGAAACATAGATCTATAAATATGCTATCGGAGAAAAACGGTATATTTATTACTTGAAGGCAGATTAAGTGAAGGTCTTTAGAATTGAAATTTGATCTAAGGCGAAATGTAAGAAATAATATATATTAGTTAAATTAAAATGCAACGATTTGTAGCGGATTGTCGCACAAACAAGCCTTGAATTATCTGCAGTAAGCCCCATGAAAAATATATACTAGAATAGGTAGTCTCCCAGTATTAGTTTGATTATCTTCATGAAGGAGAAGCCCACGTATAGTGAGTATAGTGTTTATTGAAATTATGGAATTATAGCCACAGCAAACATGCATAGAAATTGAAAACATTTGGCATAACTCTAATTAAACTTTATATCTGTCCAGCTGAGAAGTCCTTTTTAATGCAAGGCCGCATCCTATAAAATGTTTGTGTACGCATTTTAATCGTGTTAGGTATGCGTTCTCCACAGATTAGTATTATTTTAACTCGATTTGACCGGAAGGGCAAATAAATGGAAAGATATTTAATTGATCAATTAATATTCTTATAACAAACCTTTGAATAAAAACATTAGTGACTACGGGGTGCGAAATATACTTACCTCCACGTGATGCACCCTGGGCAACGCATACTTAGGCGGCAAAAAAGTCGATTGATCGGCAGTTGACTTCTGACTTCAAACTTCTATGGCCTGACTATTTGTCATATTCGACCCCTTCACAGTACTCATCTTACCTTTTTATGCCTTTGTGTCTGTCTGTCTCTTTTACCTCTGTGAATCATTATTCTGTTTTCCATCTCGACTTTTTTGTCACTTTGATGTTCCTTCTCCTCTCTGTGAAGCCCAGGGCTAATGATAACTATCTTCAAAACTCCTGCCATTTGATATAAATAAATAAATAATTGGGAACATGCCTGCCATTTGATATCATTAGTGACTACTGTTTATATAAGTACGATCACAGTTTCTTTTGGATCTATATATGAAATGAGCACACTTGGGTTTGGCTATTTGAATGCAAGGTTGTAACAAGCCATGACATAATCATTGCCGACTATTTCGCACGAACCTCCTTGCTCAAAGTAATATATGTTGTCGCTCAAATTTGTGTTTTCCTATTTGAAAGAAGTAAATTCTATTGTTTGGTTGTCTGGCTTAGAAAAAAAGGCAGCATATTCAACTACTCTTAAGCCACTCTGTCGCAACTTTTTTCACTTTCCCATCCAATTCTTATTCCAAACTTCTGCTTTTTTCCTTTATGGTTGTCTACTACATATGTGATCCAATGTAACCAATCAAGCCTTGAATCTATTTCGCTTTAATTGAGGTAGCTATAGTAATGGTATCCCACAAGGAATCTATCATTCGCATTATAACACACCAGCTGCAGTTAAAAAACCGGGTAAAATGCAAACATTTGTTCAGACTCTCTTCACACTTATATTTTAATATATGGCCTGAATCCACTGACAGTCTACCAAAAGAGATAGATTCATTTTTTTCTGCAGAATGATGCTAAAAGAATTGTAAAGAAGTGGAATGGCTTCTAAGTTACAAGGAAGCTATTCATTCAGTGTTTCCGAATGAATGCTTATAACGATTAACTTAAAAAAATAGGCAACCTGATGATTTTCAAATTCAGATCAATCATTCTCCTGAGTCACTGACGTTTACCTCCAATTTCATCTACACAAAGTCTAAAATAACTCTATTCTTCTAAGTTATGGTATAGATTACGAGACTAAGCGTTAAGGGGGTAAATGAGGTTACGAGTGCAGGGACCACTTGACCAATCAATAGTCATTACAGTATTTAATGATTGAGGGCCATGTCAACTCCCCCCCCCCCCACCCCACGCACAACCCAATTTGTCGTATTCCACGTCGTACGCCTGTTTCCTCTATATCGTTGAGACAGCTTAACTAATTTCGGAAACAATTCCAAACTTGGGGATCTTTTCACAGAAATTACTAAGAATAAGTCAGGTCTTATTCATGTAGTAAAGTATTTAGATACTTCCTGAAAATTTAAATTCTTAGTGGATTTCCTCTGGTTTTGGTAATTTCATTGTCTATTACTTTGTCTGTATTCAACTTAATTAACTAGAAGTCACTTTATACCAGTTATAGTTCTATTGAAAGTAATAAATTGGTCATGCAGTCATTTTTTTAATTATTTGTTGTCAGACGTAGGTTTTCAAAGAGCCATTGCACGCATTCAAGTCTGTTCTGTAAAATAATAAATTGAGAAATCGGTACATTTAAAAAACGCCATTTGTCTGACTCATTTCAATAACACTATCTTCAATTAGTGTCATATTATTATTATTATTAATTTCCTCCACTTATGACAATTCATTAAGCTTACAGTATATTGTGGGACACGTTATCGCTATGTGCGTCATCGTATGCCTGCATGACAGGATTGGGAGGTGCGCCGTACAACTCTGTGTGCAGCGACCGTACAAACAGTGACCAATCATTACCCTCTGTTTGTTTAACCTAATCCCCCCATCCTGATCGTGGGTAGCTCCCTGCGCGTGCACTTTATCCGCAATACCCGTACTGAATAAGCGTGCTCCGTGCTACATGTCAGTTTCCTTTATAGGTATAGCTTAGCTGGTTCTGGGAGTCTAGCTAGATGTTGGAGAATCTGCCAGAGAGACTATCTTGCCATCGAGATTTCTGAGTCAGTCAGGCTTTACTAAGGTGTTTAGCTGGTTCTGGGAGTCTAGCTAGATGTAGGAGGATCTCCCATTGAGATTTCTGAGTCAGTCAGGCTTTACAATCTGCCAGAGATTTCTAGTCGGTCAGGCTTTACTAAGGTAGCAATCCGTTACAATATTAATTACTGTATAATAATTATTGACAAATCAGATTAGATTTATTAAGTATATTTGTAATTTTATGCCAATTATTCAGCTGCCAGTTAAGAAGTGAATCATTTAACCTATTTTGTTTCACCTCAGAGGATAGGTAAGTAGTCATCGACTAGCGAGATTGTCCTAGAACAAGTATATATATATATCTATATCTATATCTATATATATATATATATATATATATATATATATATATATATATATATATATATCAATTCACGAAGTATGTAGCTTTATTGAATAACGAATAATATGAAGATATATATATATATATATATATCCTCTTCTACCTATTTAACTGGTCATTAATGATTTCAAAATTGATCTTACCTAATTAATTTTCTGAAACAAATTTCATAAAGGCAAAACAGGAATAAATCAATTGTCACTGCGTTTCAATCTTGGGAAACCTTAA